AGTCTTCATTAACATTATCACACAGATTTTCAGAAAGAAAAGGAAGACAGCAACTATAGAGAGTCATCACTCTGTCTCATAAAACTAGCTCAGAGAAGGGGTGCTTGGGTGGCTCAGTTGGTAGAGCATCAACTTTTGATTTCAGCTCAGGTCATGATCTCATGGTTCATGGGACTGAGCCCTACATTGGGCTTTACGCTGACAGCACAGAGCCTGCCTAGGATTCTCTCTCTCTCTCTCTCTCTCTCTCTCTCTCTCTGCCTGCCGCCACCCCCATGTCACCCCCCCCCCCCGCCAGCTCTCTCTCTCAAATAAATAAACATTAAAAAAAAACAAACTATCTCAGAGAATCTGATCCACTTAGGTAACAAATTGAAAATATTAACAAAACTCAGTCTTGTCCCTGGCCTAAGCCAGAATTTTATGCATATTTATAACTACTAACATCCAATTCTGTTATCGGAAATTATAAATCCATCCTTGTCAGCATAATTTATATTTAAAAAAAGGAAAGAAAAAAGGAAATACTGAGAACCTGAAGAATTCTGAGTACCTTTACTTTATCATTTGATCTCCTGGAATTATACATAAATTTGTATCTGTATAATTCCAAAAGGTGCAAATAGTCAAAAGGTCTGTCAAATCAGTTGGGTATCATTGTCACTTCCTTTTTATCCCCACTGATAAAGTTAATTTGTATATCAAGGCCCACAAAATGGAGGCTACCCTAGTGGCCCAGCTCATATCACAAATCTAAACTTTAGTTAGCCTGCACTTAATGGGAAATACCTGTCAAGGAAACCTAACATATACCAATCACAATCCTTCATCTCAGCTTTAGCTAGCTTACCTTACCCTAAAAAATAGGACCTGTTAGTCTTATAAGGAAATCCTTGACCTCTTAGCCAATCACACCATTTCTGTGTTGCCTCTTTTAACATTCTATTAAACTCTCTCTTGCCCAAAATCACTCCAGAAAAGTGTTGCATTGTTTGTGAGGCACAGTACTCCTCCAACCTATGGACTGTTTTCCTTTGAATAAAAGACATCAAACTCATTACTAAATTGTTTTAGTTTTGTCATTTGACACTACAGACATGGAGGTATAACAAAACCAGTGACTGGATTGAATTCCTTTTTCAAACTAAGAGGTCTTATTTTTTTTTAATTTTTTTTAACGTTTATTTATTTTTGAGAGAGAAAGACAAGAGTGCAAGCGGGGGAGAGGCAGAGAGAGACACACACACAGAATCCAAAGCAGGCTCCAGGCTCTGAGCTGTCATCATAGGGCCTGACGCAGGTCTTGAACTCACGAACTGAAGTCCGACGCTTTACCAACTGAGCCACCCAGGTGCCCCTAAGAGGTCTTATTTTAATGACTAATTCTTATAAACTTTTCTAAAAAAAACACAATCAGAAACATATGTACAAGGAAAACTTTAAAATAATGTATAGCAAAATGTTAACAGTGACTACTTCTGGATGCTAAAATTATGAGTACTTTTAAAACTTTCTATTTTATAAGTTCAACTTAGGTTAATAATTTTTTCAAGAAGACTATGTTAATTTCTTCATCAGGAATCTATAACAATTTCCATTTCAAGCATATTTATAAAAGTAATTGTAGGGTGGGCTATTTTCTACTTATTATGAAAACAAACAAGCTGGCAAAATAACTGGTAATAGCACTAAAACCAGTGTGACTGAAATAAACTTACAAAGTCTTGTACCTTGTTTTACTGTATTTCATCAATATGAGACACTTAAGATTTCCCTGTGAATGAGCACAACTCGGGTGACATTTTCAGACTAAATTGTTTCATCCATAGTAGAGGCTTAATAAATGTGGCTTTATCATTGCCTTTCTCCAATGAATGCCCAGTTAATGTATCATATTGGATATCATCCTTAAAACATTGCTGGGGCACCTGGGTGGCGCAGTTGGTTAAGCGTCCGACTTCAGCCAGGTCACGATCTCGGGGTCCGTGAGTTCGAGCCCCGCGTCGGGCTCTGGGCTGATGGCTCGGAGCCTGGAGCCTGTTTCTGATTCTGTGTCTCCCTCTCTCTCTGCCCCTCCCCCATTCATGCTCTGTCTCTCTCTGTCCCAAAAATAAATAAATGTTGAAAAAAAATTAAAAAAAAAAAAACATTGCTGAGAAATGCCTATAATAGTTAAACTTTATAATTTAGCAATTTCTTGAGTACTTTCGTTCATAAACATGAATACTGAATAGCATTATATTTTATATGTTTTATATCAGAATATCTTTTTAATTATATAAGATTAATTTGGATGCAATGTGGTTAACAATTTTACATAATACAGGAAATTATTTTTGGGCAAACTCATCCTAAAGTTGACTTCCAGGTATAAGTTATTGATTCTAGGTTAGTGATTTAAATCCTGTTTGGGTCATGTACACCTTTGGTAGTATCATAAAATTCTATGCTTTTCCCCAGGAGAAATATGCATTAATAAAATAAATACACACACACACACACACACACCAAAACAAGACAAAACAAAACAAAAAAACAACAACAAATAAAACACACACATACACAAAAACAAAACAGAACAAAACAAAATAAAATAAAATAAAATAAAATAAATATACAATTGGGTATACAGTTCCAAGGCAAATCATTTAAGGTGAAGGATTCCTATTCTAGACCATCTGAGCACATAGCCCATTTTCTTACTTACAATTAACTTCTCATTTTCACTGCTCCTTATTATGAATGTGGAATGACTGAGATGGTTCACATAATAACATTTTTAACATAAGCACTTATTATTGTCAGCCACTGTTCTAGTGCCCTGTTAATATTAACTACTAATCTTCACAAAAACCCTTTGAAATTCATATTATTATTTGCATTTTACAAACAGTAAGTTATGGAATAGAAAGATACTGAATATATTATCCAAACTCAAAAACACTCAATGGTAAAACTAAGATTTTCATTTAGATACTCTAGATTCGGGGTTAGCAAACCTGTGTAAAGGATCAGAGAGTAAATATGTTAGGCTTTATGGGCCAAAAGCAAAATCAAGGATATTATGTAGGTGCTTATTTAATAAGAGAGATAACAAATTTCCACAATTTTTTTTATTGATCAAATTCAAAAATTTATTTGTAGACACAGAAATTTGAATTTCATATAATTTTTACATGTCATGAAATACCATTCTCCCCTTGATATGTTCTTAATTATTGAAAAATGCTAAAATCAATCTTCATTCACAGGCCATAAAAAAATAGGATACAAGCTGGATTTGGCCTGCAAGGTCAAAGTTTGCTGATCCCTGCTCGAGACTCAGAGACCATTATTATAGTCTGAAATCAATCAAACCATCTACCATGCCATTTTTCCACTAGTGTCTGAAGAATATCTAAAGTATCTAATGTGTAATTCTGCCTAAGCATTGGTCTCTTCCTTAACAAATAACTGTGTAATAAAAAAGGACTATTTCTGCATCACAAGAATGCTTACACAAAAAGCGTACAAGGGGAGGTGTTTCCAAGTGGTTATATGAATATTAACTGTGGGAAGAATTCTGATGAGGAACAGGCAAGGGCAATCCATCCTCATGGTACCATCATTAATTGGGAAGAGAATGCCCAGGTAAATGTCTAAATCACTATTTTTTAGGGCGTTTCAGATGAAGTTATTTTATATCCCAAAAAACAAAAATGAAATTTCATAAAACAAAGAAAAAGCTCAAAATGACTTTTAGCTTGGCTTTGAGATGTGTGACTGTAACAATGTTCTCCTCTCATGGCTCTTCTTTTGGAATACAGCAAAAATTGGAAGGAAAAGAGAATCATGACATAATAGGCCTTTCCTGGAGACCAGACAGGCTAAACAAGAACACATCTCCTCATCACTAGCAAGCCCCCCCTCATACATAAACATACACTAATGGAAGTATGAGGAAGACTGAATACTGTTGACTCTTCCCTGTTATCATAAAGAAAACTCAGGTTCCCAGAAGCGAGGGACTGGAGTCTGTTTCTATGTTCACAGCAGTTTCCTGTCAACAGAGCTATAAAAATGCTGTGGATCTGTAATACAGGGCTTGCCCTCGTAGAGCTGCCAAGAGGAATCTTCAGAGGAAGTAATCCCACTGTTGCAGCCTCAATATCCTGTCTTCGGTGGCTAATTCCAGTCCTACAGTAGCCTTAATAAACACAGGGCTTTGCTTTTTTAGTTCTAACATTCGTTCTAGGTCTCAAATGTTCAACTTCCCGTTGACAGCCATTTTTGTGCAACCAGTATTTTTGTGCAGTGTGGCTATAAGGTGAAATGACACAGGCAGTGAAAGAAAACCCAGTACAACAATTCTAAGAAACCATGGAATTTACAACTGGGTCCAGAATAGGCTACACTTAATGTACTCTATGCCTTCAATGCATTAAGCACTAGGCTGGACAACAGAGAGGGTGCACCGATGAAGGCAACAAAGGCCATGCTTAGAACAGGGGGCCTCTGTGGTTAACTAGGGCCTCGAAGTCTTTCACAGGCACAGATGGAGTCACACAGGGATCTTGTCCACAGATTCCTCAGCCCCAGAACTGCAAAAATGAAGCTCTATCTTACTAAAAGTAAAAAAGCTACACTAGGCCAATTTTGATAGTCTCCAGTTGGTCACAATAGCAATGTCACTAGTTCACAGTTCACAGTACCAACACACCTCACAGTCACCGCTGACCGTGGTCATGTAATGGCTCCGCCCCCACTCAGGCCCAGGAGCCCAATCTGGGCGAGTCAGGGCCTCCCCACCATGCGCGCGCGCATACATACACTCTCTGACACACGCATACACTCATGATCACATCCCACATTGGCGCAGGCACACAATTGCACACACACCCACAATCACCTTCTTCATACAGGCCTGACGTTCCTGCCTCTACCTGTCCCATACGCTCCTGGGAAACTCCAGGCCTCCTGCAGTGAGCTCCTCCCGCACCCAGACCCGGGTTTCAACTCACCACAAGGAAAACGGTGACCGAAAGCATAAAGGAAAATGAACCAGAGGATGAGGTTCACAAACTCCCCCAGGGTCTATGAGAAACGCAGTCCACTCCGGAACAGCGCGGACGTTGACTTAAACACACCGCAGAGCCGGTAGCTGGGACAGCTAGGCTACTAGCGCGCAGCCCCGTAGACTCCTGGGAGCTCCAGCCCACGCGGGAGTGCGCAGGCGCAGAAGACTGATCCTTGGCCGGGGGTGAGGTTGGTAGGTCCTAGGGGCTCTGAGGAGGCGGGAACCCCGAGCTCGGGCCAAGACGGCAGACTAGGGAGCGGGTCCCAGTGGGGAGGCCAGGGAGGAAACCGGGAGTCCAAGCTGGGCCTGGTAATTCTGAGGAGGGAACCGGAGCCGAGCCCACTGCAACCAGACACTTGGATCTGTGAGAGCGGGGCCTCGGGCGTGGTCCGTGGGCGTGACCCTGAGGGTGACAATCGAGTTTGACCTGGAGCGAGCTCCGCGCGGGGGCGGATTTTGTCTGTTTTGACCCCAAGGAAGCTCTGCGTTGGGAGCGGGGCCTCAGACAGCCGGCGCTGTGTGTGTGTGTGTGTGTGTGTGTGTGTGTGTGTGTGTGTGTGTCTGTGTGTCTGTGTGTGTGTGCGCGTGTGCGTGTGTGTACCGAATTGAGGCGGCCGCCTGTGCTCAACCTGCTGCGTTGGGGTGCGTGCTACTCTGTGAGATGTTGCGACCGATTGTGTGTGAAAAGTGGACGGAGTCCTGTTGCTGCCTGGGGTTCCCTACTTATGTGTCTCATTTTAGACTAGGTGTGAGCGTGTCTGAGGCTGTAGGTGACTATGGAGAAGCGAAAGTGATTTTGTGACTTTGCCTGGAATTATGTAATGTGCTGTCTGAGGTTGTAAATGATAGATGGGTACCTTGAGATGGTTTTCAGAAGTAAGTTTGATTGAATGTAACCATGCATGTGTTTGCAACCTACTGTTATTATTTGTGATGTTTTTGTGATTGGGAAACTCTTCAGCACTACTGTCTAGTTGGGTGTTTAAGATTTGATTATCTGAATCATGGTCATTAAACCTGCCTCCAAAATTGTAACTCAATAGCAATTTAGCAAATAGAGGTATAAGTATTGGAAAGGAAGAGGTAAGATTTCATTTCCTAGATGGTAAATTTCATTACAGGGAAACACTACACGAACTAAAACCAATGAGTTGAAATTAACAGTGTTCCATGAATAAGCAAGCAGGAATAAAACAAACAACTTTTGCCCATAACTGACACTCTCAACACTGATATATGAGTGAGGTTTCCAGCTTCTGGATGAAATCAGTGGCAGAGTCAGTAGCTTCTTCAGGCATTCCAAGATAATAAAAAGTATTTGGTATACTTTTAACGACAAGGCCACCTCTCATTATAATAATTAAAATAGTTTGCTAATTAAAATATTCACTGTGGCAGTCAGTACTTCGGACTTCATTCAGCATGGTATCATCCTCTCCCTAGGAAGACTGCAGAGTGAAAAGATTAATGTCTTTTCTAGTTCCATACTTGTACTACTAAAAAGTGTTGTTCAATAGTTAATACTTAAATTAGCTGTCAGTAAATTAATAATAAATAAGTGAATTTTCAGTAATTATGCTTATTAAGTAGTATGATACTGGTGAGTCAGTAAAGATTAAGTAGAGGAAATTAAAGTTCAGATATTCTCAAGCATCTAGGGATATGTAGTATATGATAGAGATGGCATTTTATATCCACTGAAAAAATATGGATTATATAATAGGTAGTATTGCTAAACAAGAAAACATTCAAGGAAGAAATCTTCACAAGGTAAAAACACTTTAATAGTCATATGAGCAACTAAGAAAATTATTTTCAATTTAAAATAGCTAATTTACTAAATAAAAAATGATAATATCAACCAACTAGGAAATTAAAACACACACAAAAAATAGACATTATATAAGAAGATGCCATCACAGAAAAGAAGTAAAAGGAGCTTATTCTCCCATAATAAGAAATATGTAAACAAGAACTACAATATATATCTGATAGGCAGAGATTAAAAATGGTAACTGCATTCATCAGGGTATGGAGAGGTATTTTCATGTGCTGATAGTAACAGTGTAAATTGGTAGAAAGTCCATGAAGAACTATTTGGAAGTAGATGATAAAGCTGTCTTCCATGGGAGGTGGAAGGTAGAGCTGCAAAGGGAAAAGCACAATGTTCCCTCTCCAACTACAACAGATCACCTAGATCCATTCTAATTCACAAAGAGACTAGGTTTCTCGCAGTGAGGGAGCAAGATTTGTCCTTTTTCCCACTAACCTCCATCATGGATACATGAGAGTGAGCTGAAGCAGTGATACAGATTTAACTGAATTTTCTGGGAGATCTAAGTCAAATATGGTTTCACATGGCTCTTTGTATTCTCCCATCTCTGCCTTCTCAGGACTCTTCCCTTTTCCATAAGAAGGGCTCAAAAGAGAAGGTTCATCTCTTGCAAATCTCAAAGCCATGCCTCAGGTGAGATGATGTTTCCTCTCTTTATGAAATAAGTTGTTTTCAGGTTATATGAACATTGCTTCCCAATCCTTAAATTTCCTGGATGTTGGCATTTGCTTCCATGAAACTGGTCTCCAGTAGGACAAGCAAGTGGCCTAGGTGCAAAATGTAAGGAGTATCCTCAGGGCCTGTGCATCCCTAAATTTTGCACCCTATGTTCCTCACCCGCCCCACCTAGTTGCAGCCCTGTTCCCAGTTTTTCTTATTCCAGCCATATAAACGTAAGCCTTCCCCACATGTACCTTTAGTTGTAGCCCATGTTTACATATTAACTTGATATATCATTCATCATCTCCTTTCTTAAGCTTCTCACAAAAGTACTGCTTGAAAGATGTATTATTTTGATTTAAAAGGGAAACATTACTTTAATGACTCTATCTTATCTAGATACTGATTTGAGATCTAAGTTGTGAGGGGTCAAGGAGCAGACATGGAAAAACCTTGATCATCACTACTGACCTAGGTTTTGCAATGATACAATGGGGGGTAGAGTTGGTAACTGACATTATTAGTTTGTGGTAAGATGTTTTGTGAGGTTTCCAAGATAGAGATTGCTTGCAAGCTTGTACAGAAAACTGAGATTTTGGGTGCCTGTAGGTGGCTCAGTCAGTTAAGCGTTTGACTCGATTTCAGCTCAGGTCGTGATCTCATGAACCGTGAGATCATGAGATCAAGCCCCACATTGTATAGAGCCTGCTTGGGATACTCTCTTTCCCTTCCTTCTGCCCCCACCCACCCCCTGTTCTCTCTCTCTCTCTCTCTCTCAAAATAAATAAATAAACTTTTTTTTAAACCTGAGGTTTTTGCATTCTACCTCTCTGATCCTGTCTATTTTATCCAGTTCCTACAAACTGTGGCCTGCCAATGAAAACCTTTCAAGTATTTCAATGCTGTTACAGATTTATTCTTATTTTTTTAGTTTCTTCTAATTTTTTATATGGGAGTGGAGGAGGATAAAATGCATATGCTAGTCCATTCTTGAACTATTCTACTTTGAGGGGCACCTGAATAGCTCAGTCAGTTAAGTGTCTGTTAGTTTCAGCTCAGGTCATGATCTCATGGTTTGGTTTGTGAGATTGAGCCCCAGGCATGGAGCCTGCTTGGGATTCTGTCTCTCCCTCTTATCCCCTGCCCAGCTTATGCTCATGCATGCAATGCTCTCCCTCTCAAAAAAACAAATGAACTTAAAAAAAAAAGTAATATTCTACTTTGAATCAAAGGGGGTACTTTTTCGTGTTTTCAGGTCTTTCAGAAAATTCCTCTTTATCTACCCATCTTCAAAATACTGGTTTTCCCCAGATGTCAATCAGTTCTCTTCTCTTCACTGTCTCTTTTTCTCTGTGCACAGATCCACATAAAGGTAACACTGATCTAATTCTAGTGACTCTCAAACACTTCTCTCCATACTAGACCTCTACCCAGAGTGTCAGAACCATATATCCAGTCTCCAAAAGTTATGATCACCTGAATGTCCCATAGACACTTCAAGTACATTTCCAAGGCCTACCTCATTACCTCCTTTGGTCTAGCTTATTTGTTCTTGTGTTTTCTATTTCTTAGTCTCAGCACCTAACCACTTGCCTATGCAGGTAACTCAAGAGCTATGCCTCTTTTTTCCACTCTACAACCAATTTATGACCAATTTTGTTGCAACCCCTTATGTACTAAACAGTTTTCCCCTCTCTAGACAACTAATACCACCTTATCTAGGAAATCACTAACAATGGTTACTTAATTGTCTTTCCCACCCAACACATCTCAAGCCTTCTCTAGTCTTCAAGGGTATTGCCTCTGAAGTACAAATTTTATCAAATAATATATGTACTGCTTAACATTTCTTCATACTCTGAAAGCAGCAGAACAAGCAAAGTGGGGTATGCATTACAATGGAATGTACAAGACAGTATATTGAAAGGGAGGAAAATACCAACAAATTACATTCAAGAGCAGATGTGGATTGCCATTAATGCTGACTGATGATTTATAAATAAATATAAATATGTTAGGAGTGTGTTCAGTACATTTTTAAGACCCCTAGTATTTAATTTAAGACCCCTAGTATTTAATTTAAGACCCCTAGTATTTAATTTAAAAAATCCAGTATTTTTTTTAAGTTTTTAAATTTTTATTTAAGTAATCTCTAAACCCAATGTAGGGCTTGAATTCATGACCCTGAGACCAAGAGTCACACACTCCTCTGATTAGCCAGCCACGTACCCCAGAAAAAATCCAGTATTATTAGATAAACATGCCCACTACCTAACTCCATATACCTTTTTCTTCTTAGAGTTCCAAGACTCTTTCCTAACATACTGTGCCTTTTGCTATTTCCTCAGCTTACTAATTGGTTTTCCTCCCCCTGTGAATTTTTTTTTAGATTAATTATTAGGTATTTAATGACTTTTAATTTTATTTTGTTATATTTTGCTTTGTATAATTGATTTCATTTCATATAAATACAACTGATTTTTCATATTGCAGTTACATATTGATTTTTTTTATTTTATTTTTTATTTTTTTTAATTTATATCCAAATTAGTATATAGTGCATCAATGATTTCAGGAGTAGATTCCTTAGTGCCCCTTACCCATTTAGTCCATCCCCTCTCCCACAACCCCTCCCATAACCCTCAGTTTGTTCTCCATATTTCTCAGTCTCATGTTTTGTCCCCCTCCCTGTTTTTATATTATTTTTATTTCCCTTCCCTTATGTTCATCTGTTTTATATCTTAAAGTCCTCATATGAGTGAAATCATATGATTTCTCTGACTGACTAATTTCACTTGGCATAATACCCTCCAGTACCATCCACATAGTTGCAAATGGCAAGATTTCATTCGATTGCCGAGTAATGCTCCATTGTATATATATACCACATCTTCTTTATCCATTCATCCATCAATGGACATTTGGGCTCTTTCCATACTTTGGCTATTGTTGATAGTGCTGCTATAATTTTAATTTTTTTTAAAATTTATATCCAAATTAGTATATAGTACGACAATGATTCTCCCCATGAATTTTAAAAGGTGGTACCCTGTATAAAACAAATTCATTATGAATACAAAATTTTGATGTCCTCAGTGAAGCTTTGGTATACAAAATAAAATTTTTCTTTACTTTGTAGCATTTTCCCTTGTACATCTTTCTGTCATCACATCTGTAATATCTGTTGGGTGTATGTATTTATATGTATGCCTCTCACTTAGCCTGTAACTTCTCATGAGCAAGGCCAGGGCTTTATTCATTTTGATCCACCAAGCAACTAGTCACATTCAAGGTAAATAGTATGATCTTATATATTTTTAGCATGAGATAGTAAGTAAATACAGACTGTATTATCACAGAGAATTTTCTACAATACAAAAGATAAAATAAGAAAACTAGTCTGACCACTGAACGTGGTTTCCAATATCTAGTTCTCACTAGTTCCAATCACTTTAGGATGAACTAGAGTCTGCCCTTGCAGGGATCAGTGTCATTCAAGGATGTGACTGTGGACTTCACCCAGGAGGAGTGGCAGCAGCTGGATCCTGCTCAGAAGACCCTCTACAGAGATGTCATGTTGGAAAATTATTGCCACCTCATCTCTGTTGGTAAGAAAAATTCCTTGAATCTTTCAATCTCACACATCTCCTTTCAAGAATTTTTGAAACATATGGAGCTTTGTATTTCAGAGATCAGAGGTGATGAATCCTTTTTTATTAGGAGCCAGTGTGATTATGTCCACACTTGCCCAGTGCAAGGTATTAACTTTGCTAAGATGTTAATGTGTGCCTTGTCTGTCACCTTAGAGCTATATCTTTCTCTTCCTTCAATAGTTTTGAAGCCCAAGCAGCTTAGACCAAGTCTCATTTTTTATTATCAGGGTTTCACATGACTAAGCCTGATATGATCCGTAAGTTGGAACAAGGAGAAGAACTATGGACAACAGAGAGAATTTTTCCAAGTCAGAGCTACCTTGGTGAGTCTGTACAGATAAAATCCAGTGGACTCAGGTAGTTAGCACCTTTGAATGTTTTTAGGAATCTATTTTTTCTAATTGTGGCAAAATACACAGAACTAAAAACTTATTATCTTAGCCATTTTTAAGCATATAGTTCAGTGGCTTTAAGTACATTGACATTGTGCAGCTATCACCACCATCCATCTCCAGAACTCTTTTCATCTTGTAGGACTAAAACTCGGTACTCATTAAAAAATAACTCCCCATTACCTCCTCCCCCTAGCTGCTGGCAACCACCTTTCTAATTTCTGTTTCTATGAATTTAACTACTCATAGGTACCTCATGTAAGTGGATTTATGCATGTGGTATTTGTCGTTTTTGTGATTAGCTTTTTGCATTTAACATAATGTCCTCAAGGTCTACCCATGTAGAGATTCTGATAATATCAGAATCTCCTTCCTTTAAGGCTGAAATATTCCATTGTATATATTATTTTTTGCTTATCCAATGGACACTTGAGTTACTTCTACCTTTTGGCTACTATAAACAATGTTGCTACGCTATGAACATGAGTGTACAAATATCTGAGTCTTTGCTTTCAGCTTTTTTAGTTATAAAAAACAATTTTAAACAAAACATTTTAAATAAAGCATTTTTTAAAAAAACATTAACAAACAATTAAAAGAAAAGTAGAATTTCTGGAATATACAATAAGTCTGTGTTTAATGTTTTGAGGAACTGCCATACTGTTTTCCATAGTGGCTACACCATTTTTACATTCCCAGTAACAATGCACAAGGGTTCCGGTTTCTCCACGTCCTCACCAACACCTGTTATTTTCTGTTTGGGTGGTTTTTGTTTTTGTTGTTGTTGTTGTTGTTGTTGTTGTTGTTTTAATAGTAGCCATCTTATTAGGGATCTGTTTTTAAAGGCCTGAGATCTTTGACATGCCTATACATGACTGACTTCAGTGTGTCTAAAATCTAAATTTTAGCTGTGAATATCACTCCTCATGTAAGTTCTTTCCTTGTCTGCCTCATGTTTATAGAGACTGCTATTTGTTTGCCTTATGTTTTTAGAGACTGCTATTTCCTTACCAAGAATCTACTCCATGCTTTGTAAGTATACTGTACATGGAGATCTTAAGTGTGAAGTCCTTTGAGTTCTGACAGAAGCATAAACCCATGTATGTCACACCCAATATAAAGTACATTTCCATTAACCCATTAAGTTCCTTCAGGCCTCTTCCAAGTCAGTCCCTCCCATTAGGACAATCACACTTATGATTTCTACCAGCATAGTTTTATCTATCCTAGACCTTTTTCATATCTACTTTAACTCAGCTTAATATGTGAGAGATATATACATGTTTTTGCATAAATAAGTAGTTTATTTAATAGTATTCAGTTGTGTGAATATACCAGTTTGTTTATATATCTCCTGTTCATAGATATTCGAAATGTTCCAGTTTGGGGCTGTTATGAATAAAGCTACTGTGAACATTCTTGTAAACATCTTTTTGTGGATATGTTTTTATTTCCCCTCAGTAAACATGTAGCAGGTGGTATCACTCATTCATTAGGCAAGTGTATATTTTACTTTTTTAGAAACTGCCAGTTTTTATAAGTTACTGTACCATTTTAAACTTTTACCAAAAATGTATGAGAATTTTGGTTGTCCCATATTCTCTTTTGCATTTGATGTTATCAGTATTTGCATTTTGGTCAGACTGAAGGTTATAGTAGTATATCTTTGCAGTTTTAATTTAGATATCCCTTGTGACCACTGATGTTGAGAACTTTTTCAAGTGTTTTTTTTTATCTTCTTCAGAGGTACCTATTCAAATGTTTTACCCATTTTTATTGGGTAGTATATTTTTCCCTCAAGTAGTAGGAATTCTTTACATATTCTGGATAGAAGTCTTTTGTTTGATATATGTATGGTGAATATTTCCTCAGGTCTGTTATGTCTTTTAATAAGCACACACTGTTAACTCTGATGAAATCCAGTGTATCATTATTTTCTTTTATACTTACTTCTTTGACCTCTCAAATATTTGAGATCCACTAGGTTGTGATGATAGTTTCTGTCTTTTCTTCTAAAAATGTTATGAATATTTTGCTATTTTTATTAATTCTGTGGCCCATCTCATGTTAAGTTTGGTTTATGATGTGAGGTAAGATGAAGGGTCTGTTTTCTTTCATATAGATAACAGTTTCTCCCATCATGTGCTACATTGAATTAAATTGCTCTGGTGATCTTATAAAAAATTGATTGTATTTGTGTCAGCCTATTTTTAGACTGTTCTTTCCTTTGCTATCTTTTAAGTCTTACTGCCAATACTACCTGGTCTTTGATTGTTGGAACTTTCTAATAAGTCTTGAAGTCATAGTAAGTCTTCTAACTTTATTCTTTTAAAAATTCTTTTGGCTATTCTAGGTCATTTTCTTTTTCAAATACATTTTAGAATCAACTTCTTGATTTCTTTAAACAAAGGTAATAGAATTTTTATTGGTGAGAATTAACATCTTCGCAATATTGAGTCTTCCAGTCCATGACTATACTATATTTTTCTATTTTAATTACCTTCTCTACTTCTTGTAAGCAATGTTTTATTATTTTTAGTATAGAGGTCTAATACATATTTCATTATATCTAATCTTTTAGTATTTTAATGCCATTGTAAATAGTAGGATATTTGAAATTTCTTTTTCCAGTTTGTTGTTAAAATATGCATCCCCAATTGATCTTTATATATTGATTTTGCATACTTCTACTTATTGTATTGTATTCTACTTATTACTTAAGTTTTATTGTTGTTGCCATTGTTCTTTGTTTTAGTATATATCTTTCGTTTTTTACACACAAAATATGTCTTCTAGAAAAAAGATATTCCACTTCTACATTTGTATATTTTATTGCTTTCATTTCTTTTTCTTACTCTGTTGTACTGACTAGGATCTACAGTACAATGTTGAATAGAAGTGGCGAGAGTGAGTTTCTTATCAGTTCACTAAATTTATTAGGAAGACACTTAATATTTCATTCTTCATCCTAATATTAACTGTAGGCTTTTCATAAGTGCTCTTTATTAAATTCTGGAAGTTCTTTTCCTCGTTTTTGATGAGTTTAATTATGAATGTTGATTTTAACATGCTTTTTCTGCATCTGTTAAGATGATCATACGATGTTTCTCCTTTAATCTGTTACTATATGTATTACGTTAAATAATTTAAATATTAAACAAAATTAAATTTGGATTCTTGGGATGAACCCCAGTTGGACAAGATGTATTATCCTTCTTCTAGATAACTAAAATTGGTTTGTTAATTTTTTAGTAAGTTTTTATGCATGATTTTACCAAGGATAGTGGTCTGTAGTTTTCTTGTAATGTCCTTGAAAAAATCAGAATTGTGTCAGCAATATCAAAAAGACAAGGGGTGTTCCCTCTTCATCTACTTTCTTATAGAATTTTTGTTATGCTGGTATTACTGCTTCCTTAAATGTTTGATGAAAATCATTATTAAGCCATTTAGGCCTGCATTTTTATAATTCAAGACTTCTGCTTCCAGCCCTGAGCAAGTAACAGAGTCTGGAATTACACTCCTACAGGAAACAACAAGAAAACTGGACAAAACTATTTTCAGATATTGAACAACAGGCAGCACAGGCCTGGATTCCTGAGAGAAGAGAAACAAATGAGATGAGCCCTACCTCATTCCAGGCTTTCATCTGAAGGCAACTTCCAGACTGCAGTACAGAGAGAGGAATCCAAAAAGAACCTGACAATTTTACTGACTTGAGGGGACTGACATGGGCATTCAAGGAGATTGAGGTTGCTAAAATTTCCAGGACATACTTCCCAAAAGAAGTGAGCTATGCAGAAAAAGAGTTCCCCAAATATGGAAAAGGTTCTCTTTGAGTCTTTGGCTGAATATAAGTCTGCACGTGTATAGGTGAAACCCTATGAGACTAAACAAAGACGTGTTCTAAGGAAAATACAATTACCATAGTGTTGTAAGCTGAACAATTGCCATAGCCTACTGCACCAAGAATCATTTTATTTTCCTCTAGCCAGAATGGAGAGAACTTGTTGATACATAGGACTTTAGATAGAAACATAGAAAGGCCACCCCTTGATAAATGGGGTTATATTAGGCATAGGTTAAAGATTTTGCAAGATTTGCCATAAAAGTGCTTAAACAAAAGCATCAAAAGGATTAAACCAATCCAAAAATAATTGCTATGTGTCTCTTGGGTCCTCTAGGATGGAGATGCTGAGATAGAGTTAGGAATGTAAAAATTTCCTAGAGGTACATCTATGGAAGATAAAGGGGAAGAAAGTAAGATTAAATATAGGAAACCATTAGATCATGATATGGATCTGGTACCTATGGAAGGAAAGGGGGAGAGGCTAACAGGATTGGACAGGGAGAACCTCAGATCATTGTTTAGACTTGACAAAGTGTCAACCAACCTAGCTGGTCTGAAGCAAAGAGACCTAGGTCTCTAGAGACCTAGAGACCTAGCTGGTCTCCTATCCATCTGAGGAGTCTGCCATGGAGAGAAATAGGCAGCCTCTAGTACCCCCTCGGTGTTCAGTCTTTGGATGGGCACCTCCTGGGGAAACTGTGGTTTGATTCATCATATGAAGAGCATCCTGAAGATGCTAACAATTGCAGGCTGTCAGGTAACTATACTTCTTGCACATCAATGGCAAGTTCTTTTCTGAAGGGAGATCCTAGTGCTGCAACTCTATGGCTGCCACAGAATGCCATTTAAAGAGCAATACTTCATGAAAATATAACCATATCTCAAACTCAGCAACATTAAGTTGATAATGCCTGATGTCCAATCAAACATTATTAAATATATGAAGAAGTAGGAAAATAGGACCCATAGACATAGACATGTTTTCAATAGAAAACAACAACAAGTCAATAAAATCAGGGGTGGTGGAATTTGCAGACAAGGATGCTAAAATGGGCATTATAAATGACCTCAATATCATCAAGGA